TCGGACGGCTGCGATGGGAAAGGTCATAGGGTGGGCTCCGCAGGTGGCGATCTTGGCCCACCCAGCAGTAGGAGGGTTCGTCTCCCACTGCGGGTGGAATTCCACCCTTGAGAGCATATGGTTCGGGGTGCCGATGGCCACGTGGCCGGTGTACGCGGAGCAACAATTAAATGCCTTTGAATTGGTAAGGGAGTTGGGTTTGGCAGTGGCAATTAAGATGGATTATAGGAGAGACACCCAAGTGGTGGTGAGTGCGGAGGAGATAGAGAGAGGGATAAGGGAGGTGATGGAGCATGATAGTGATGTAAGGAAGAGGGTGAAAGAGATGAGTGAGAAGAGCAAGAAAGCCTTGATGGATGGTGGGTCCTCACACTCTTCATTAGGACATTTTCTTGATCAGATTTTTCTTTGATATATTAGGAAAGTCCTAGAAAAATAAGAAATCCCCGTACCAATTGCTACTGTTTTTATTTCTGTCATGATTTGATGAATTTAATAAAGTTCTTGATTCTAATATTTTTCTCTATATGTATATGCTCCTTCTTCACCACATGAACTGAGGTTGATGTGTTTATTTCGGTGCACATTCTAGATCTTCAATATCTTGATAAATTATATTGTATAATAGCATCGGGGGCAGAGCCGAAACTTGAAGTGGCCTTGGCTTGGCCCCACTAATAATGGTGAGAACTGGAGGTTGAAAATTGATTATAAGATAAGAACGGCAAAATTTGGATGAGGAAAGGAAACCATGATCCGTAAGCCTTTTAAACTAACTAACAATGAAAGTGATTTGCCAATTCTAGTTGTCTTCTTCATGTTGAGAGCCGACAAATTTGCACGTTGTACGTATTCAATTTCTATTCTTCAACTTTCTACTAAAATTTTGTGGTGCATACCAAAAGAAAGAAAAATGTTGTTAAATGAATGGTGTATGATACGAAAATATTGAGTTGCATGTAAAGTAAATAAGATATAATATTTAACGAAATTAGACAAGTGGTGTCTATATTCCCGGAGATAGAGCAGCATCAATGACCTTTTTCCACTACGAAAAATAAAGTTTTGAATTTGAAAAAGAAAACACCTCGATCCAAGTGGTAATCCATACAAACTACAGGAGAATCAATCTTAAAATGTGGCAAAACTTTATGAAAAGTCTTGTGACGTTTTGTGTTTGGTCCACAATTCCTACCATGTTTTTACTCTCATCCTTGTTGATAAGTCTAGTGCAGTTGTGTGGTAAATTATCAGACACCAAAAGCTCATCTCATATCAATTATTTAAAGGTTCTTCTTTTCAGCCAAACCAATGATTTGAGGGGCCACGCCACTCTCTACTGCCAAGTCCACGACGACTTGTCGGACCAAAACCAATTATGATAACTTTTGTTCTGGCTTGGTTTACAAGTAAGGTTATCAAATTTTCAAAGTCACAAGATTAATATAAAAGAAAATATTGACTAAACAAATGCCAGCAAAGGCATGACAAAGAAGTAATCAAAGCAATGGATGGGAAGTGCCAAATTTTGACGTCGGGGGCACATTGGCGGAAAAAAATAGTTCGATTTCTTAATATTTAAAAAAAAAAGAATAGCGGGTCAATCGAAAATTAGGCACAAGTTCAAAGAGCAAATCACAAGTATACCCTTTTTATAATAACAAGGGGAAAATGAAATTCCAACAAAGGCTTTAATATCTCTAAGGTTATGAAAATAAAAAGGGGTGACGTCCAATAAATATGAAAGATGAACAAAGCCGCCCGAACGCTTGGCCAAGAAAGCCCAATAAACTATAATCTCAGTTCCATAGATAAATACACAAGCCATATAATATAATTTTGTCTTCACCATTTTTGTGAGGTTGAGTCTTTTTGAAGCTATATACTTCTTTTAATACGATGTTAAAATAGGTGAAGTTCAAGTAATCTTCATGAACAGAAACTTTGATTAAAATTGATTTTCTCATCGGTTCTCTTCTTAACAAAGTCATGAGCAAAAGTAAAGTAGATTCCAATTAAAATTTAAAACCGTCGTTGCTATACGTAAAAGTCATTCAATGCACACTCCTAATATGTGCAGTGTCGTCCTATACGTAAAAGTCATTCAATGCACACCCATAATATGTGCAGTGTCGTCCAATGGCTAGTCCCCTAATAATCAACATAGTAAGTGCCTACAACCACCCTTTCAGCCTAGTAGGGAGGGTGGCTGAAGATCTTTCTAAGCTTGATTTCAGGAGATGTGTTCCCTTTCATCTCTATAAATACTATTCACCTACATTTAGACAAAGATAATAACTCCTTCATATCCCGAAACTCTATTCATTTACTCTCTTAAACACCATTTGTTCTCCCTCTAACTTAGGCATTAGAGAGGAATTGGCTGGTACTACACCAGTGCCTCTTTCTAAGTTGTGCAAAACACCTAAGCCAAAGAAGAAAACCCATCCATATTCAACTTGACTCACATTCGATCTTGGCCCAATCAAGGTCCTAGTGAACCACCGGATTCAACACAAGTCAACAACAATGACATAAGAGATAGGGTTAAAAAAATGAGTGACGATAGCCAGAAAGCCTTTGGGGATGGTTCCTCCTTGGGACGGTTTATTGATCAAATTTAACTAATTCTGATTTAGCAAAGCTCAAGATCATCATTTAAATGTTTGGCTTTTTTATACAAGTTTTATAAAACTTAGTATAATAACAGGGGAAATATGAAATATATATATATTCTCAAAATTATTGCTTTAATATGTGTAAAGTTATAATCAAGGACCAAAATATTGATAATATTGACGAAATATCATCTTTTCGAGTCTAGAATTTTTTGGATATATTCATACACATATCGTATAATTATGGACAATATCAGGAAATATTGACGTCAATAATTTCTTACGCGCTTCAACAACATTTTGTCAAAATATCGCGATAGCATGCAATGGACAAGAACGAAAAAAAAAAAAACCCACAACACACACGCAAAGGGGGGAATTGAACCCCTTCCATTCCACTCCTCCAGCGCCTTAACCACCATGTTGCTTCAACATCAACCAATCTCAGATCCATATGGGTGGGTTTTATTCAATTTCCATGGTTTTTATTCATTTTTTACCGATATTGATAGTTTCCCAATATTTCCATCGAAATTTCCGTGTTTTTGAACTACCTATATTTCCGAAACCATCAATATTTTAGACCTTGGTTATAACCAACTAGCTGTTGAGCGGGAGTTTACTTCTTTTTACAATAAACATGAGGTATGAAGAGCACAGCTTCGGCTGAGTTGGCAACATATTGTCTTCTCAATTATATATAGATAAATTAACACGAAATATGAGCCATTCAAGATACAATTTTGATTTCGTCATTTTTGTGAGGGCGATTATATATGCCTCTTGTAGAACGATGTTAAAATAGGTGAAGCCACTTATCTTATCATGAACATAAACTCCTTACTCTGTAAGTAGGAGCTTCTACATTCATGTCAATAGAAGTGTGATATGTGTGAATAAATGTTTTCTTTTTGTGTTTTTGATAAATTATTTTTACATATCTATTTGTAATTCCCATGAAGGAGAAATATCTCATTACATCAAAAGATGCAAACAGTATCCTTAATTAACAAATAAAATAAAATGATTTGCCTTCTTAATTGTTATGACTGAGAAAACTGACAAATTATGTGTATATATCATTGACATATTCAATGCACTCTACTACGACTAGTTGGACCAAAATCAATTTTTCATAACCTTTTGTTTTGTCCTTTTTGTTTTGGATTTCCGACTCTATTACCTAGTGGACTTAATAACGGACAATATCCAATATTTTTCGGATCACAAGATTTATATAACTCAAAATCTTGACTTCATAGACAATCCCACATACAAGTCTAGTGTAAGACCCTTACAAGTTAGCATAGGCCATGGCATGGTTTTGATGTTTTGCACCATGCCAAAGCAAGCCAAGAGTGCATGGGAGGTGCACTTGTGAAGCAAGACAATGTTGGAAGACAAGTGTTTTGGGTTGAGAGTTGGCAGCCAAGACATGGCAGCATAGGAGACTTGGTGGCATTGGCATTGGCGCTGTCGAGAGATTGGCATTGATGCTGTCTACAGATTGGGATAGAAGTTGTCGATAGGCAGCGTGCGCAGCGTGTGCGCAGGCTGTGCAAAAGATGCTGACAGGATATGTGCGCGAGGTGCAGGCAGACTGTGCAACAGATGTCGATAAGAGATGGGTGCAGGGTGCTGGCAGGATGCACAACAGATGTCGACAGAATGTGGCGCAAGTCTGGAGCGAAGAGCAGTTGCGGTTGGTGCGCAGCGTGCGCCCAGGATGCGCAACGCACGCTGGCAGATCGTGGGCAGTTCGTGGCAAGTGGCTGAAAATGTGGGCAAAACGGTTTTGAGCAGTCCTTGAGTGGTTGGACGTGGCTAGGAGTTGCTGCATGCTTGAAATTCGGATTGTGGGCTGATCTTGGAGCATTAGTGGGCGGTTACTTGGTAGTGGCAGCATGTTCCAAGGTGTGGGGAGATTTTTAAGGAGGAAAATCTGCCCCATGAAGAGAGTGGGCTGCAAGGTGGTGGCTGATGAGTGCTAGACAGGTTTTGAGGAGGGAAAAACGTGTCTAGGTGGCTAATCTAAGGGTTGGCAAAGTTTCCTAAGTAGATGGGGGTGTCATCTACATAGTGTAGGCTTATAAATACCTTGTGAAGGTGTGTGGTTGAGAACCAAGTGATGTGGTAATCCAACCAAGAGTGAGAGCTTGTAATCCTTTGCTATTCGTGAATAGAAGGTTGGGAACTTTCCCGTATATGTGTGTGTGAGAGTTTTCCTACGTGAGACAAGTCTTACTTGTGAGAGTGTTGGTGTCACTTGTTCCGCTGCGTGTACTCTGAAGCCTCGCAGGTTTAGAGGTGAAGAGAAGGCTGACTTAGGAGGAGTCTAAGTGCCGAACAAGGGCCGAAAAATTAAAGGCGTTTTTCACCCCTGTTACACCTAGCCATTGGCCTAGATAATTAAATTCCAAAAATAAACAATAACAATGTGCAAGAAACTGCCAGCCATGCACATGACATGTGATGTGTAAAATGATATACATATATACTAAGTTTTATCAGCTGAAGTTTTCATTGCATTCAACACAAAATGAGGAGACTTGTGTTCATCACAGGCCTGGGCATCAGGTGTAAGAACTTGATATTATAATGAATAATTATATTATAACTAGTGGCATCCAGAGAATCATTATGTCTGGGAATCATTATGTCTTCTATCATCCTCCCGCAAGCTCAGAAGCGGAGAGCGAATGAGCTTGGATTTTAAGAAAGTAAAACGACCAAAAGAGAGGCCTTTGGTAAAAATGTCTGCAAGTTGGTGGGTAGTGTTGAGAGTATTTGTCCCACATTAAAAAGTTAAGGGACTTAGCCTGGGTTTATAAGGAGTTGGGCTACTC